CCCTGCATGATTGGATATCAAATGCAGAACCCCGAAAGGGTCTGTCAAGTGCTGTGATGGTGGCTGTGTGGTACAGCCAGACACTGGCAGTGATTCCATGCCCCTCTCTCCAGATGAGAGCACTCTGCTGTCACTCCAAGGCCCAGTTTGCTCTGTGGTGTTCTCGGCGCTGCTGGATCCCAGTGTGCAGCTGCAGCTGGTTGGGATCAAGGCACTGACTGTCCTGGGCTCCCTGCAAGGTTGGTGCCTTTTTTCCCTTGAGACAGAGGGAGGTGTCACTGCGTTCTGAGAGACACAGTGGCTGCTGGGACATCTGTGCCTGCTGCCCGTGAGTGCACAGGAGTAGCAGCAGCATGTTCTACCCAAGCCATGAGCTCCAGGCACATTTGATCTCTCTCTTGCCTGTTTGTGCTGGGCATCTTTTATCTCTGGCATTTGGTGTACTGCTGCATTGCTGCTGGCCTGGATGAGGAGGAAGGATTCTGTCCAGCACACCAGCATCTTTGCCTTTGGCCAAGGGTAGGATTCCTCTATGGCTCTTGTTACAGGCTTCCTGTCTTCCTCTGATCTGGAGCTGGTTGTGGATCACCTCATCCGTCTTGCTCTGCATGAGGAGGATTCCCAGAGCAGGTGAGGTGCATCATGGAGTCGCCCACACTCTGGGAAGAGGAACAAAGCCTGGCTTTGCTGCAGAGAAGGGCTGTAGTCTGAGGGAAGGCACAGGAACTGTCTGAACAAGACTACACGGAATAAACCAGACAATTCATGGGCTGGAAATAAGAAAGTCTTAGCCTGTCAAAGCAGGGGTTTTGCTCTGCCTGCCTGAGGAGGGAAAAGGGAAGTTGCTGAGAAGTGGGGTTGTGGAGACACCTTCTGGCCAGGTCTGTGCAGCTGGTGTAGGAGCAGCCCTAGATTTGCAGTCCTTGCATCACCTTCCATTGTCTTTCCCCCTGGCAGTGAAGCAGCGATGGAGGCGGCTGGGTCCTTGGCCCCCACCTACCCAAAGGTTTTCTCTGGACACATGGTACCCAGGCTTGAAAAGGAGCTGCAGTCAGGTAGGGCTGGGAAAGGAGTGGTTTTGGGGTAAAGCCTTTCCCATCCCCATTGGGCTCCTGCCAGGCAGTGGGGCTGTGTTGTGTAGGTTGGTGGCTGTCCTTGGGGGATTCCCAGCACAGGGCAGGCTGTGCTTGGTCTGCTAGCCAGCCTGTGTGGGGCCAGGACCACCCTTGTGGGAAGGAGCTGCCCAGCTGCAGAGCAGGCAGAGTGCCTTGAGCCTGGCAGGGGCTGGGTCTGCTGTACTGCTTCACCCCATCCACCCTGGCAGGGTCTGAGCCCTGGCTGTCCTTGGCTGGGGTGTCCCCAGGTCCCCTCTGAGGTGTGTTTCCTCTTCAGAGCGGGAGGAGAGCTACCACAAGCGCCACTCCTTGCAGCAGCGCTGCCTGCAGGCCCTGGCAGCTGTGTCCACCCACACCAGCATCATGAAGGAGACTGTCCCCATCCTGCTACGGCATCTCCAGAAGGTGCAGAAAGGTAATGGAGCTCCTGCAGGTAGCTCCACAGAGCGTGTCTGGGCAGGAGCTTCCTCTGTTGCTGGTGATGGCTGGGAGAGAGCTGGAATGGGAGTGGTACAAGGAATCCACACCTGGGCTGTGAATCCCACTGGTGGAGTGGGAGTCAGAAGAGCTGCATTGTCCCAGGATCCTGGTGCAGATCAGGGGGCTGGGTGTAGAGGCTGTTTGACTTGGTGGTGACTGTGCCCTGCAGGGACTGAGGCCAAGAACACCCAAGACATGATCTCGGTGTGCCAGAGCCTGCACCGCGTGGCCCTGCAGTGCCAACAGGATGCTGAGGGCTGCTGGTACTTCCACCAGACAGTGGTGCCATGCCTGCTGGCCATGGCTGTGCAGGCAGCCATGCCAGGTAAGTGCAGGGCTGGAGTGGGAGAGGGGAGAACAGGCAACGCCTGGGCTCACAGGGATCCTTGATCCTGCAGTCAGTGCCGCTGTTGCCTTTTGGCAACCATGGCCCTCAAGAGTGGGGTGCACTACTGCCTGCCCTTGTCCCAGAGCCCTGCCCCACTCTGGTGTACGTTCAGGGGGCTGTGCCTGCCTCCTCCTGAACAGCAGGCTCCAGCAAGTTTCATTCCTCCCACTACCTGCAGAGAGCACCCATACACTGCCAGGCAAGGCACTGCTGGAGGAAGAGGTGCTGGCTGCCATGATCCCAGTCATCAGTGCTGCCACCACTCACCTGAGCCCTGAGTGAGTGAAGCTGGGGCAGGCAGCTGGGTGCTCCACGTGGGGAGGGAGCAGGCTGCATGCCCGCTGCTACTGTCTGTACAGGGAGACCCTGTGCCTCCTGGGAGGTCTCTGGTGACCCTTCCAGAGCAGCACACTACATTGTCTTTTCCTAGGCTGGCTGCCCAGAGTGTCTCTCATGTGGTGCCCCTCTTTCTGGATGGAGATGTCTCCTTCCTACCCCAAAACAGTTTTCCCTGCTCCTTCCAGCCTTTTGGGGTATGTTTGGTGATTGGGGCTGGGCCAGGAATGAGGATGTTTGTAACAGGCTGGCAGCAAGGACTGTGATGACATGGACACTGTTCTTCCCTTGCAGGATGGGGAATGCTTGGAGGCACAGAGACGCCTGGTTGCCCTCCTCATGGCCTTCGTCTGCTCCTTGCCCCGTGATGTACGTTGATGGGGAGCAGGGTGGAGAGGAGACCTGCCCAAGCACCCTCCAGCCTCTGTCCACACCAAGCTCCATGGACAGACAGAGGGAGCAGCTGCAGCCCTGGGCCATAACACGTTCTGTGTCTCTTCCAGGTGGCAATTCCTCAGCAGGAATGGCTGCTCCGGGAGCTGCTGGCATTGAGCTGTTCCTGCAACTGTCCCTTCACGGCCACCACAGCTGCCAAGTGCTTTGCAGGGCTGGTGAACAAGCACCCAGCAGGTAAGGGGGCTGGGGCAGATGCCAGGTGTCCCTGCCCACTGCTGACAGGAGGAATGGCTCAGCTTATCCCTTCCATTCCCAGGGCAGCATCTGGATGAAATCCTGCAGCTTGCAGTGAACAAGATGGAGCCCAGCCTTGCAGAGGGGCCCCGCCGAACGCAGGCACTCACCTTGCTGCTTTGGGTAAGGCCTGCCCTGGACGAGGGGGGCTGGGGGACCCAGCCTGGCACTGACTGTTCTGCCTGCACAGGTGACCAAAGCCCTGGTGCTGCGCTACCACCCCCTGAGCTCTTGCCTGACAGACAAGGTAGGTGGTAGTGAGGCTGGGTGGTGTCTAAGAAACCTGCCTTGCTCCCCCATGGCTGGCTGGGGACGCCCAGGAGCAGGGCACTCCCATCTCAGGGCTCTCTCCCTCGCAGCTGCTGGACCTGCTGGGTGACACGGAGCTGGGCCCAGCCACAGCTGATGGCTTCTCCTTGCTCATGGCCGAGTCCCCGGACGTGCTGCACAAGGGCTGCCACGCTGACGTGCGCATCATGTTCCGCCAGCGCTTCTTCACTGACAACGTCCCCAAGCTGGTGCGAGGCTTCCACGGGGCTGGCCCCGGTGAGTGGCCACCCCCAGCCCAGCCTCACCACTCCTGACCCTTTAACCAGGGGACCTGACCCAGCATCTCCTCCTTCTGCAGGCTGCTTGTAACCATCTCTGCTCTCCACAGATGTGAAGGCCAATTACCTGAAGGGCCTGTCGCATGTGCTCAACCACCTCCCCAAACCTGTGCTGGTGACAGAGCTACCCACGGTAAGAGCCAGCCTGGCTGGCAAGCAGGGTGAGCTGTGACATTGTAGAGTGTATGATTTAGGGTTACTCATGACTCCTGTGTTCTCCTCTCTCTGCAGCTGCTTTCCCTCCTGCTTGAGGCCTTGTCCTGCTCCGATCGTGTAGTACAGCTCTCCACACTGAGCTGCCTCCACCCACTGCTGCTCGAAGCTCCCCAGATCATGAGCCTGCATGTCGACACACTGGTCACCAAGTTCCTCAACCTCACCTCCAGCCCCACCATGGTGCGTGCACCCCCCTCTTCCTCCCTGCTCTGCCCCTCTCTCGTGCCCCCTGTGCTCCCCTGATCCCTGTCTGTTCCAGGCTGTCCGCATCGCCGCCCTGCGCTGTGCCCATGCCCTTACCAGTCTGCCCACAACAGTGGTAAGTGCTTCTGCAGCACCCTGCTGCCTGCTCCTGCATGTAGAGGTGCAAGGGGCTCCCCAGCCTCTTGGGGGTCAGCCAGCATCCCTTTCTCTCACAAAGAGCCCCTTCTGTCCTACAGCTGCTCCCATACAAGGGCCGAGTTATCCGGGCACTGGCCAAGCCTTTGGATGACAAAAAGAGGCTGGTGCGGAAGGAAGCAGTGGCAGCACGTGGAGAATGGTGAGTGTGTGGAAGTAGCTGCTGAGGGGGTGCCGGTGTGTCGGGGACATGGCTGATGGCACCATCTCTGTCCCTGCAGGTTCCTGCTCGGGAGCCCAGGCAGGTGAGCACCCTGTGTCCCTTTTCTCTGCTGACCAACAGTCTGACCAGCGCCTTGCTAAGCCTCCAAGTCATCCAACCAAATGCCACGGACCCTCTGGATCCTCAGAGCCCAGGACTGCCCCGAGTGCTAGGGCTGGAGCGTGCAGGCCAGCAGACAGCAGCCCTCACTGCAGGCCCTTCCCAGCACCCACAGCAGGGAAGGAGCTATGCTGCTTGTGGCTTGCCCACCCTCTGCTCAGTCAGGGACAGTGATGGACAGCCCCTGCCACATGTGAGTGGAGAGGACAGGTCTGTGCACACGTGTGGTGTGTGACAACCCATGTACCAGAAGAATAAATATATCTGTTTTGATAATGCTCTGAGGGTCTCCATGCAGCTCAGGCTGGGTCCTCAGTGCTCTTCTTGTGTTCAGCAGCTTAAGATACTGCTGGTTATAGACCCTTCCTCCTCTTTTAACATTGTTGTCCCTCTTCTCCCATCCCTAGAAGTCCATATCCCCCACAAGATAACAAAAACAGACTCCCTTAAAAAAACCAGTATTTAGTAGGTGGTCTTAAAAAGACTCTCCGGGGGGCACTTGGGGGTGCCATCCTCTGCCCCCAGCCCGTCAGAGAGCAGAGCTGGGCCAATGCTGGCCCGTACCTGTGCTCATGAGGGCAGCACCGTCCAGCTGGAGCAGGGAGCAGCAGCTCTGCCACCTCGCCCTGGGCTGCCTGCAGCCACCAAGAGCCAAGAGGGCAAGTGTCCAGGCACCAGCACTGTCCACAGAGTTTCCCATGGCTCTGGCTCCAGTCAGTGATATGTGCCAGCCTTCTGCCAGGCACTTTGGCCATAGGAAGCTGCAGTGGTGGAGTGGGTTCCCCACGCACTCCCCTGCCTGTGGAAGAAGGAATGTCCAGAGCACGGAGCCTCAGATTGCCAGGAGTGGTGTGCGTTGCTCTGTCACGCAGGGAGGCAGGTCCCAGCTCAGGCCTGTCCCGTGCGGCAGGTGAGGAGAGGGCAGCAGGACACGGGTGAGCCAGTGCCTGTGGGGAAAGTGAGGCCATAACCAAAAGGTGAAGTCTTGGTGCTTCTCAGCTCTGAGGAACCATATCCTGAGCTGCCGCAATGGCTGAGCTCCTCAGCTCAGATCCTCTTGGCAAAGGTGTGCTGGGCAGGCCACCTTGTCACTAGACAGGGCTCCTGAGGCATAAGGCCAGTCATGTCCACGTCTTCCACACCTTACAAAGCCCAGTGCAGTGCAGGATCAATGTTCACTGTTGTCCTCTTCCCCCAGCAGCCCAAGGAGAGCCCCTGTTGTCCCTACAACCCCAAGAGCTGCTGAGCCACCACCTTCTCAGGCAGGGGCTTCCCCAGGATTTTACCTTGGCACATCCACACCTAGGAACACCTTCCAATTATCCCAGCTGCCGTAACTGTAGGGGTTCCTGAAGACCTGCAGGACAGGGAGAGGCACATCACGTCTGGCTCTGCCCCAGCCAGCCCCCGTGCCGTGGGCTGTGCTCACCTTGCCTTTCTTCTGCAGTCTCTGCCTCTCCTTTCTGTTGATGTGCCGTTCGATGCTCGTTTCCCCGCGGGTAATGAGGGCAGCGTGCCACAGCGTCAGGGCGCCCAGGGCCAGTGCAACCGAGCTAGGTATGACAAGGGACAGCAGGTGGAACACAGGCCTTCCTTCCCTGGCACTGCAGCTGGCGGGGCTGAGGCTGCCTCCCCGCACCCACAGCCACGTAAGTGGGTCAGCTTGTCTAATCTCCTGGGACAGAGACAAAACCTCTCCTTCTCGGTGGCCCAAAGGCTGGCAGGGCAGCAACATCTGTGCTAGAGTGAGCAAGCCCAGCTCCAGGCAGGTAGATGGCGAGCAGTGTCACAGCTTGACTGTTTTCCCCAGCCCCAGGCCCCCTCACCTGCACAGGACCCAGAGGTAGACCACGCTCTTGTGGAAAGCTCTCTGGCGGAAGGAGAAGGTGGGTGGTGGGGTCTGGTAGTATGTCTGCAAAAGGAACAGATAGGGAGGATTACCCAAACTGCTTTACAGCGTGAAGCCAGACAGGGATCTCTGCACCCCTCCCTGCTGCAGAGCTTGGACAGCAAGGAAGGATTGCAGCTGGAACTAATGCAACAGCCAGGGCGAGGGGGAGGCAGTCCAGGAGGGACAGCCACGAGACAGACAGACAGACACCCAGAGCTGGCACAGGTGTGAGGAACAGTGGGCTGGAGGTAAGGGGCAGGGAGCAGCCATGGCCTGGTCAGGACATTGCAGCTGGTGGTCATGGAGAGATGTGTATGTAGTGCTGCAGTTTCACCAGGAGGCCATGGCCTGAGCAGCACATGCCAAGAAGCTGTCACCAACCCAAGCCCCTGGAAGCTGGGTGCAGAGGCAGACCCCAAGCTGCTGGAGGCATTGTCCACAGCAGAGCTGCCTGACCAGCCCCAGCTCTCTGACATGTGAGATGAACATGGGGGCTGGTTCTGATGGGGGGTGCTCCTTGAGAACAGAGCCCCAAGCAGGACCCAGCCTGCACAGCAGCTCTGCTCCACACTGCCTGGAGCAGCTGGGGGGCAGGGATGTCCCACCTGGTTGGCAGCCACCTGCAGTCTCTCCTTCTCAAGCAGTTTCATTCTCTAGGGGGATGGAAAACAGGGCACCAGTTATGTGTCTCAGAGGAGTGGGACAGGGACCCTTCCCCTCACACCCCCACAGGACCAGAGCAGCTGGGGGCCTTGCAGGAGGAGGAAGAGGGGAAGCAAAGTCACTGTAGGGCTGGGCCTGGCCCAGCCTTGCTCTGCAAGCTCAGCCTGGGGAAGCCAGGCAGTCTTGGTGCACGGCAGGAGAGGCTGCTCACCTCAATGGCTGCGTAGGCATCCCGGAACATCTCCCAGCCGCTGATGCTGCAGTAAATGCAGCCCATGGTCATGAACAAGCAGAAAGAGAAGAAGTAGCGGTGGTTGTAGTGTCCCACACAGTTGTTTAGCCAGGCTGCCTCTGGGGTTAAAGGCACATAACTGTGACAGACCATGGGTCCAAACCCAACCCAGGGCCCAGGGCAGTTCTGGGCTCTGCTCCCATCACCCATTCCTATGCTGGCTGTCTCCTCAAGAGAAGGGACTGGGAGAGAAGGGGGAAGCAGTGCTGGATCCCCCCAGGAGTGTGCCACCCGTTAGTACTGCAGAAGGATACGGCAGTGGTGGTCCATCTTCAGCACACACCTGGGAGAGAGGAGACCAGTGTCAGAGCCAGTGCAAGTGGTGTGTTTGGGAGGGGACAGGCACCCTCCCAGCCCTGCAGGCTGCAAATGACAGGGCAAGGAGGTGGCAGAGCAGAGGAGAAGGGTCCCTGTCTCACACTGGGGCAGGGGGTGAGGAACAGGGCTCCAAAGCTGCTCCAGGCACAGGGAGCGTGTCCTACCTGTTGCAGATGCTGCAGTGATGGGTGCGAGCTGGCTTAGGGGCAATGCATTTCCTGCAGATGGACACACCAGTGAGGTCGTTCTTGGCCTGTGCACAGTTCAGAAGAGATTTGTGCATCTTAAACCTTGCATCTCACACTCCTGCCCTCCTCTGTTGCCTCCCCACTCTGCACTGCCCAGCCCAGCTTCCCCAGTTTAGAGGCATCCTGCAACCACATCACCAGGCTGTTCCCAGGGACCAGCTGTAGCTCACTTGGTGCCTCACCTGTGGTGGGTGCCCCGGTGAAGTGGTGATAGCCATGTAATAGTGGAAGACAATCATGATGAGGTTCCAGTGTCCATAGGCGAGGTGCCAGCATATCCAGGCAGGTGTGTAGGTCTGCAGGATGAGGGGCAGCAGGCAGATGTACACGATGGCCACAATAGAGCTCGTCAGCCCAATCACCAGTGCCACAAACACCTACAGGAGAGGGACCTGGGTCACTGGAGTGTGCAGCGCCTGCCCCTTGCTGCCTGGGAAGAGGCACGGGCAGGACAGAGCCAGAGGCAACCACTCTGAACCACACACTGAGGTCCCAGCTCACTCCTGCCTGAAGCAGGCAGCCCTGAGCCCATTGCCCCAGCACCACGTGCCCCCTGCCCCGTGAGGGGGACTCACCACACCAAACCACCGGGTGACATGGTCCACCAGCCAGTAGACCGGCTCGAAGAGAGAGTCAAGCACCACGTCGCCGTTGGTGAAGGAGTTGTAGAGCAGGGAGCGCAGGCAGAGGTGCCCGTAGTGCCACAGCTGCTCCACGTGCCGCAGCAGCTTGAAGCGCCGCCGCCGGCCCAGCCGCAGGCACTTGAGGAGCAGGCGCATCGCCGCGGCAAACATCCGCTGCCGGCTCCTCATCCCCGCCGCGCCGCGCCTGCGGGGACAGGAGCTCGGCGTGGGCAGGCCACCCTGCTGCCTGGCTGTCCCTCGGGAAGGGTTTCCCCTCCCTGGCGCGCTGGTGGCGGTGGAGCAGCTCCCTGAAGCGACAAGGATGAGAAGCTGAGCCCAGGCTCCTGGAGGCTGCGGGGCTGCTGTCGCCGCGGTGTCTCTTGGCACGGAGCAGGGGGCACAGGCCCCTCAGCATCTGGGCTCAGGTGCTCTCTGGTCCCATCTCGTCTTTCCCAGCGGGGAGGGGGCCGGGGGAGTGACACGGAGAGTCTGACTCAGAGGAAACCAGAGAAGGCATGAGCATCCAGGATGCTGGGCCATTTCCAGAGATGATTTCAGCCCTTCCCAACATGTTCATGAACAGGGGAGTCCACACAAGGAAAACGTGGAGGGGCCAGTACAGGATTACCCCTCCTCCCCTAGCTACTTCCCTTCACCTCAACTTCTGGACCAAGTTGCAGAGGCCACCCTCCGAGGGGCCAGTACAGGATTACCCCTCCTCCTCTAGTCCACCCCTTAAAGTGAAGGATGCTGCTTCCCTTCACCTCAACATCTGGACCAAGTTGCAGAGGCCACCCTCCCAATCTCACAGCCTCACTCCAAGAATCCCAACACTTCCTTTTTCTCCTTGCCTGGATCCTTGAACAGTGCCACACACCAGCAAACGAGAGGCCCAGGGACAGCCCCTGGCCAGTGCCCCCCTGCCTGCTGAGCCCCTTGTCCTGCTGAGAGCTTTGCTGGGAGTGCCGAGGAACCTGATCTGGCCCAGCACGGGGGAAACCGATCTGCAGGGCTGGGGCCCCCAGGTCCCCGTGCAGGCAATACCCATCAATATTAAGCAGCGAGGCTGCCCCAGGGTCCTGCCAAGGCACGTTCTGAGCCTGGGCCAAGCACTCGCCTTGGTCTGGTGCCAGGCGCTGGTGCCAGAGCTGAGAGTCCCTCCAGCAGGGATCACCCTCTGCGCTGCTGTGCCCACCAACACAGCCCCTGGGGAGCAGCAGGAGGCTGAGGGCAGAAGCTGCAGCACCCAGTTGGGCCACCCAAATGAGACAGGGCTCTCCCCACCCTGCCCGAGGAGTGTGGGGCTGACCCCAAGGTTGGGATCTACTGGATATGAGGACCCCAGACCCAGCAACCCATCCCAGGTCACAGGCATGGCTCCTGCCCTGGTATGGCAGAGGTGGGATATGCAAACGCCTGCATCACCCTTTTCTCCACATTTCCCCTTTGTTTGCCAAGAGCTTTTCCTTGAAAGTCAGCAGGTGCAAAGTGGAGCAACAACCTCCTGTGGTGCAGCCTTTGGGTGGCACACATCCCTGTGCTGTCAGCGTGGTAAAAGACAGAATACTGCAGGCAGAAGCAGGCGTTGAGGTCAGCCCTTTCCTCCAAAGACACAGCACCTTCCTGCCCCCCAGAGAAGCTTCCTCACCTACAACAGCAGCAGCTGTTGGGCAGGGAACCCACAGCAGAGGCAGCCAGCCTGCTCCAGAGCAAGACCCAGTGTCCCTAGACACCTGCCTGAAGACAGCAGCACAACCACAGAGAGGAGTCTCCGGTAGAGCCACACAGCTCTCCCCTGCCCAGCCAGGCACTGCGATCCAGCCCTCGCCCTGTCCATGGCCGTCCCCACATCCCAGCGGGGCACCGAGCCCACGGAACGGGACAGCAGCCACCAGCACAGACAGGAGCAGCGGCAACACCACAGCCGGGGGCAGCGGATCCTTGCCTTTGGCCCCACCCCAGCAAGGGCGAGGCCTGACGCTGCCAGGTCCGGCAGCCCTGTGGCACCCTCCGGTGGCTCGGCAGCGCCGGCCCCACAGCGCCACGGCGCCCTCCGGTATTCCGCCCCATCCCCAAAGGCTGCCCACGCCGGCAGCCCCGCAGCACCCAGCTCCCAGCAGCGGCTCTCCCTGCCCCGCAGCACCCCGGCCCCTCCAGACCAGCGGCTTCCCCCGCTGCCCCCATCCCAAGCGCCCCCATGGCGACAGCCCCCGCTGGCCCCGGCTCCGCGCGGCACACGGAGCATCCCCCATCGCCTCCCGGCCCCCGCGCTCCCCGCCCCACGGCACCGCTGTACCGCCGCCCAGCCCCGCGGCAGCCGCAGCCCCTACGAGCCCACAGCTCCCGCGAGGCCCCGACACCCGCCCGGCGCCGCCGACCTGGGCCCGCCGCCCGCCGCCTCCATGCCCGGGCCCCGCCGGCCCACGGGCAGCGCCCGCGCGCGGCATGCCGGGACCGCCGTCTGCCGCCACCGCACTACAGCTCCCAGCACGCCTCACGTCCGGGACGCGAGAACCAATAGCCGCGACGCTTACAGCGCAGCATTGACGTCTGGAGCCAATAGGGTGAGGGCTTTCTGGGGATGCCCTGTCGGCAGCGGGCATGGCGCCTCCCGCACGGTACTGCGTCCCTGGTGAGTGCGATGTGGCCCGGGGCTCCTCCGGCTGGGGCTGGGGCTGCCCGGGGAGGGAGCGCGGTGGCCTAGGAGAGGAGTAGGGTGGAGGCAGTGAGGGGCTTGTCCCGGGATGCCGCGCACTGGGCCGCAGGAGCGAGCGCTGTGCCGGGTCCCGGCTGAGCCCCTGTGTCGCAGGCGAGCGGCTGTGCAGCACGGAGCAGGCCACGGCTGGCAGCGGCACCTACACTCGTCATGGCTTCATCTTCTCCTCGCTGGCGGGCTGTCTGGAGAGAAAGAATGAGGACAGCGAGGTGAGCGCGGCCGCGGCACGGCTGCTCCTCGCCAGGGCTGCACAGCCGGGCTGCGCGGGGAATCGCACCGCCATGGGGCTCGGCTGGTGAGCCTCTGCACGAGCTGTGCCCCGTGCTGACCCTCGCGTCTTGCCCTGCAGCTGCCCGTGGTGTCGGTGGTGAGAGACAGCGAGTCCCAGCTGCTGCCCAACGTGGGGGCTGTGGTGACATGCAAGGTGGGGCGCTGGAGCGCTGCATTGACAAACTGCATGGGCCTCGACCCTGTCTCATGCTGAGCTTTGTTCCTGCACACGGATGGGGTGGGCTGAGGAGTCCCTGAGCTTCTTAGTCCCCTCTGTACAACTCCCACCAGGGCAGGGGCAGCCCACGGGCTGCCTTGAGTCTCTCACTCACAAAGAAAGTGGATATTGGCATGAGGGACACCTGTCCTGAGACTAAGGTGGGCTTGAGGGGAGGATTTTCTTTGTTCTCCTTCCATAACTCTTTCTGGGGCAGGGAACGTGCAGGTCAGTGCCTCAAGCAGCTTGTAGAAAGAATGACACAGACCAGGGATTAGTTTCCTTATGTTCCTGGTGGTGGGACAGGGACTGGGATCACTGAAGGTCTCAGCCTTATTCTGGTGCCTCAAATTGCACAAGTATCATCTTCCCCACCTGGCTTGCTGCCAGGTGTCCCACCATTGCTTGGTCACAGGGGGGAGGAGGCCAAGTGAGACCTGAGCTCCCCATGCAGCCCTGCCTGCTCCCTGCCCTTTCCCTGCCCGGGCCACTGAGTTCCCTTTTCCTACGTGCAGGTCTGCAGCATTAACTCTCGCTTTGCCAAGGTCCACATCCTCTATGTTGGCTCCACGCCGCTGAAATCCACCTTCCGAGGCACCATACGGTAGGGAAAAGGTTAGGACCCCACCCTTCAGGGGAGGAAGGCAGCTGTGGGCAGTGCAGCTGGCTGCCCTGAGCACTGGGCTGCTGTCCAGCAGCTCCTGGTGAGCACCCAGCGAGGCTGGGACAGCTTCTGCCTCAGGCTGTTGAGCCGTCTTTGCTCATTGGCACTCAGATCCCTCCATCTCCTTTTTCAGGAGAGAAGATATCCGAGCCACGGAGAAGGATAAGGTCAGTGAGCCACTGCCAGTAACTGTTCTACACCCGTTGCCCCCCTGTTTGTGCTCGTGGGGCCCTGTCCCCCCACTGACAGCACTGTGTGGCACTGCCTGCTCTCTCCTGTGCAGGTAGAAGTGTACAAGAGCTTCCGCCCCAGTGACATCGTCCTGGCCAAAGTTGTATCCTTCCCCCTCGGGGACAGTGGCTTGGCTCCAGCTCCCGTGTGGAAGGCTTTCCCTTAACCCCTGTCCAACCAGATCTCCCTGGGGGACGCGCAGTCCAACTACCTGCTGAGCACAGCAGAGAACGAGCTGGGCGTGGTGGTGGCACGCAGTGAGGCAGGTAGGGGCAGGACAGGGACAGAGACGGGCTCTGGGCTGAAGCAGTGCTCATCCCTGCCTTAGGGGCAGCTGCTGCAGCTGCCTCCCTCTCCACACGGAGGCATGCAAGCTTGGGAAGGAGCAGCCTGACATCCTGTGTCCCCAGGGGTGCAGATGGTGCCCATCAGCTGGTGCGAGATGCAGTGCCCACGCACACACACCAAGGAGTTCCGGAAGGTGGCCCGGGTGCAGCCCCAGTTCCTGCAGACCTAACACCTCAGGGGGGCAGGGGGCTGTGGAGCCACAGCAGCCCCTGGGCCCCCACCTCCTTCACATGTTCAGCCAGGCCTCCACTGGCAGGACAGGTTTGCTGCTTTTGGATAATAAAATGTTTTTTGAGAGCTTCCTGCTTTATTCTTTACAGTCAGTGGGGGAGCCAGGGCTATCTACAGCACTCTGGTCTGGCTCCTGCAGCACAGCAGGTGAGGGAGCAGCTTCTACCACACCCGGGGCAGAAGGAAGCACACTTTCACTGCTGGTGAAGGGGTGATGGAGTGACTTTGCTGCAGTGATGCCAACAGCACAGAGCCCCGGGTTTTGGCTGTGCTGGGCCCTCGCCTCACCGGGTTGGTTTCCCCACACAGGAGTCAAGCCTGGAGCAGAGCTTGTCTCAGCACACCAGCGTGGGCTGTGGCTGAGAACAGCCTGGGGATATATCTCTTCAGGCCACACGTACATGCCCTGCCCTTTGGGACAAGGGTGTGGCACACACAGAGCCCAAAAACCAGAGCATGGCAGGGTATCACCTCTTGGCAGAGATTGCAGAGCTGAGCTTTGCTCCTTGAGCCTGGCACAGCTTCTGCACGCTCACGTCTGTGCCCAGCAGTGAGTGCTGCACGTGCACACGCTGGCAGCAGGAGCCCACAGGGCCCAGAGACACGTGCACACCTCCTTATTGCGCATTACTCCTTTATTGAACTGGAACGAGACGGCTGCTATGGTTGGACAGTTACACTGACCCCGTGCAAGCCCAGGCTCAGACACCGGCAGGGGCAGGCCACAGCGACAGGCCACCTACACACACGTGAGGGATGGGACACAACAGCACCTGCTTCACCAGCAGGACGAGGATGGGCATCAGCTGGGGGAAGCAAGTTGCAGACACAGACCTCCAGGCAACAGGCTCCCTCCCTCACCCTTGTCTGAAGGCAGTAGTTAAAGCAGGGGCTGGCAGAGCTGGGCCCAGAGTCGTGAGTACCACCCTGGGGCGCCGTGCCACATGCACCAAAACACAACCCTTCCAGTGGCATCCCAGTCACTGTGCCACGCACCCACGAGGGGTGGGGTACCCACCTTGGTCACTGCCGGCACTGCACTTGCCTCACTGCTCCCAGGAGGACTAAATCAAGTGACAAAACTACAGTAAACGGGTGACGAGAGCTGCCAGGGATGCAAAGCAAAGGAGGAGCCTGGCATGGCAGGGGATTGCTCGGCCTGTCCCTCTGCAGACAGGGTCTGAGGGTTGGGATCACGGCGTGGACAGGTGTGGGGTTGCTGCCTGGCAGAGACAGGGCTCCCCTTCACACCAGACCTATGTCCAGCCCTTACCCTGAGCCCCCAGGCTATCTGCAGAGGGGAGCCTGCTGAGGGAATGGGCCTAACCGTGGGGAGCGCCTCCAGCTCCACAGCTCCGGGTTCCTACAACTGTGGGGGTGTGAACAGAGGGGTGGGGGATGGCAGGGGGCTCTACTGTGTGCTGCTCTGCTGCCTGCCCTCACTTCTTGGCCTTGCCCTGAGCAGCAACGGCCTCCATGGCCTTGCGCACGGTCTCCTCATCCCCCAGGAACTGCATGGGCTTGACAGGTTTCAGGTTCTTGTCCAGCTCGTAGACAATGGGGATGCCAGTGGGCAGGTTCAGCTCCATGATGGCCTCTTCTGACATGCCTGCAAACACAGCAGCGCCGTCACTCTCGGACCTTGCCACAGTGGCAGCTGGGAGGGAGGGTCCCTGGGACGCCCCTGCAGGGGTGACCTACCTTCCAGGTGCTTGACAATCCCACGCAGGCTATTGCCGTGAGCTGCAATAAGGACTCGTTTGCCCTCTTTGATCTGTGGGACGATTTCCTCGTTCCAGAAGGGCAGAGCCCGGGCAATGGTGTCCTTCAAGCTCTCGCACGTTGGCAGCTGGTCCTCTGTCAGGTCGGCATAGCGGCGATCCTGGGACAACAGCCACGCTCACACAGCAGCCCAGTGCCCCCCATCCAGTGTGGGAATATGGTGGCAAGATTTTGTCTCTCCCCCAGATTCTCTACCTGAGGACCCACTATATGTAAGCAAAGCAGGCTTGGAAGCAAGAAATTGACTTTGAGGTTTGGGGCTGCAATGAGCCACTCCTGAGCCAATGAGTCAGGGCCATGAGCCCTCCTGGGAGAAGTCAGACATTGCCTGTCCGGGCAAAGAAACCAGATCAAACATCCATGAATGGGTAATGGCACTAATGATTAATAGAGAAATTGTGCCCTCTTCTTTGGATCTGCCTGTACAAGGCCCAGCAACTCCACAGGGAGAAAGCAGGATAAACTCAGCCTAAAGTCTACCAGCACCATGCACAACAGCCCCAGATAACGCAACAGAGACACAGGAGACCTTACACAGGCAGCCAGGCCACCCTGCAGATGACTTTTAAGAGACTCCTAGCAAGACAGTCAAAGAGCTATGGGTCTTACCTTTGCAATAGTGCTGTAGAAGGGGTGGTCAGACTGCATGGGAGGCGGAGGGATGTCATAGGAGCGCCTCCAGATCTTGACCTGTGCCTCGCCATGCTTCGCTGCTGTCTCAGCCTTGTTCAAACCCGTGAGAGCCCCGTAGTGCCTCTCGTTTAGGCGCCAGGTCCGGATAACGGGTAACCACATCTGATCAATGGCATCCAGGACGGTCCAGAGAGTACGGATCGCCCGTTTCTGTACCGAGGTGAAGCAGATGTCGAACTCATAGCCGGCATCTAGAAAATACGGGGAAGGGGGGGCGGAGAAAGACCGGGAAGGTGAGTGCCCGGCCTTATGCAACCGGTGAAAGGCCAAGGGCGGCGGCCTCACCGCACCGGTAGCGGTCGCGTCCTCGTCTTTACCGAAAGCGGCGGCGGCCAGGACGCGACCGGTACCGGAGAACCAGCCCGCCGCGGTACCTCGGACTCTCTGAGCAGCGCGGAACCCCCGACCGGGCCCTGGAGGCCCTCGCCCAGCCCCGGAGAGCCCCAGACCAGCACCCGTTAGGCTCGCCGGGGCCGCACCAGGCCGCATCCCTTTCCCCCCGTCCCCCGCGACCCCCCTCTAGGCCGGCCCCCCCTCCCCGCTCCACCGGTACCTCGCAGGGCCTCGCCGCCGCGCCGCGCCTCCTGCTGCCCGGCGGGGCTGAGGTCGGCGTCGTACCAGCCGCTGAAGCGGTTCTCGAGGTTCCAGGCGCTCTCGCCGTGGCGGACGAGGACGAGCCGGTAGGCGGCGGCCATGGCGGGACCGGGGCGCGCTGCTCCTCACGCCGCTGCCGCGCGCGACTAACGCCCCCGCCCGGCCCCGCCCCGCCCCGCGCGCCGCCCGCCGCAGCGGGACGCGCATGCGCCAAGCGCGCGCCAGGCGGAGGCGCACGTACCACATGGCGCGGCCGCGAAGGGCGGTGCGACCTTCAGGGCGTGGCGTCACCGTGGCGTCACGCCACGCGGTAACACGTAACACGCACTCGCCGCTCGTGGCTACGGGCTTGGTCTGAGCGCTCTCCCGGGGCACGGGGATGTCTGCGGGCTCTTGCCGGTGGCTGCCCCCGGGCCCCTCGGGTCTCCCATCTCAGCCCCGGTAGGCACGGCCCCGCTGAGCTTCCCCGACCCCGCTGGGCCGGGACGCGGCCTGCCCTGGCGGCTGCCCTCACTGCTGCCCTCACTGACGATGGCGGCTGGCGCCGGAAGCGGAAGCGGGCTGTGGGCGCGGCCGCACGTGGAGCCGGGGCCAGCATGGCGCGGAGCGGGAGGCTCCGCTCGGGAGCCGCGGCCAAGCTGAAGCGCTGGCGGAAGGGCCACAGCAGCGACTCCAACCCCGAGACCCGCCAGCATCGTCTGGCTGCCCGCAGCCGCTTCTGCAGCCGGCCGGCGGGTAAGGGCGGGGGCAGGCGGCTCCTGACATGTGCCGGCTGTTCCCGGAGGGGTGCGGGGCCGCTGAGGGCTGTGGGGCGAACCTTGGCGTCCTCCGGGAGCTGGGGCTGGGGCAGCAGTGAGAGCGGAGCCGCTGGCAGTTCCAGGGTAGGTAGAGGCAGCAAACCTGGGAGTACAGCCGAGGCCACGGCGTCAGGAGTTAACCTCGTAGTGACACCGGGCCTCAGAGGCGGCATGGGGCACCGCGTGCCGCAGTGCCTGTCGCCCTGCGAGGCTCCCCAAAGCCCACGGCCGTACCTCTAAGTGCTGCTGTGGTGTCTGGTGTGATGAGGAACGTGACAAACTAATATGCAGCCGGCCACATGATGGGGAAGGTAAACCAAAGTGTGCCAGGCACTGCGAGAACACCGGCTGCTCCTGGCCAGGGAAATATTTCTCATGCATCTCATGCAGATGTCTGGCCAAGGAAATCTCATCTCAGCATCTCATGCAGATGCTGGCTGCGGGCTGATGTCTGGGACTCAGAGGGACATGCAGCATCTCTCCTGGCTGTCTGGTTGCTAGGGTTTCAGGTGGAAGAAGATAAACAGGGCAGGGTACAAGAAGCACCTTAGTGTTAAAGCCGTGGCTCACCGGCACACGTTTGTGGGGACATGATGCTCTCTTCCATCAGAGATGACTGGACTGTGCTCTGGTTTCTTTGCACGGAATGAGAGCTCTTTGCAGTTACTGATGTGCTTTTGCCCATTGGGGCGAAGCAGCACCTGTATTCCCCATGCTGGATATGAGTTTGGCTGGGAGGGGAGGGGAGCTCGGGGGATTTGGGGTGCACGGTGGAGCAGTGTGACTTCTCAGCTGTGCCACGTCTCCCCCCCGCAGAGAAGAGTAACCTGACGGTGGACGCGGTGAAGCTGCACAACGAGCTGCAGTCGGGCTCCCCGCGGCTGCAGCGGGCGGGCGGCAGCGCCCAGCTCCCTGCGGATGGTGCTGCCAGGGCTGCCAGCGACAGGTCCTGTGGCACCTTCCTGAGCGGCCTGAGCGACTGCACTAACGTCACCTTCAGCAAGGTGCAGCGCTTCTGGGAATCCAGCTCTGCCGCTCACAAAGAGGTACGGGCAGGGCTGGGCTAGGGGGTGGGCCCTGGCTGCGAGGCTGAGGTGCTGAGCTGCTGTGCTGGCTGCTGACAGATCTGTGCCGTGCTGGCGGCGGTGACGGAGGTGATCCGCTCCCGGGGGGGCACGGAGAGCGAGACGGAATA